CATGAACAGGAATGGTGAAGGGAACCCTATTGGCAATATTTCTTGGCCTATGGGCACAAAATTCACTCCAGATTATCGCATGAGTTTTAAGGCAGTCACATGACCACATCTCGCATGCAATACTGAAAATGTTCACGTTTGCTAGTATGCGGCATTTCCCATAAATCGGAAAAACACTCAGGAAATCAAACATAAAAAGGCCTTACACCGCGGTCACATCAAAGCCGATTTAGAAATTGTGCGACGTACAGTGAAGATGCTGATTTCCTTACTATTTGCAAGACATCTGACACAGATATCTATGGCAAATCGCAATAAAAGTAGTACATGTACTACTTTAGAAATCAGAAATCGCACCCATGTGACTGCTCTAATAGCAGACAATAAGGTGCGACTTGGCATACAATTTGCCATGCAAATCGCATGCCAAGTCGCATCCAGGGTGCACGATTTCAGGTGCGATTTGGGAATTGAAATTGTACCTGATATCCGATCTAATGAATGTGGATGTGAGTGTCTTAACGTAAGCGATTTGCTGCAGCACAATTTCAAAAGTAGTTCTTGTCTAACTTTTCAGCATTTTGTAGCGATTTCACATATAGAGTACAATAGAAATCGCAATGCAAAACACAATTGAAAACGCAATAACTCATTGGTAAATCTACAGAAAACATGGTGAAATTGCCAACAAAAAGCACAATTTTAAATCACATCTAGTGTGAACCAAGCATGCAATTCAACAAAGGAAATAAATCTTTGAAGGCATGCGGTATCTGCATGCTCAGATAAGGGTCTGTTATGGATTTGGGGGGGGGGACTCCATGCCATTATTTTTTTATTTTTTAATCCACTTCTTTTGCTCACTCTTCTCATGATTTGACAAACTTTCCAAAGGATGTGGAGTGCAAACCAGCATTATCCAATCAATCATTAGTCCAGGCCCTTATCTCATCCCATGGTTTCACATTCACATTAGGTGCTACTTTAAAGGTGTTTGAACAGACAAGGCCTCATTCTAATTCACATTCTAGGGATCATTTAAACAGAAAGCAAAGATGCTGCCACCAGCACATGTATGTTAGGGTAGTCACACAGAGATCATGCAAATTCATTGCTGTGGTTGGGATTCAAACCAACAACCCTAGCGTTGTGAGACAGTAGTGCTAACCACTAATCCATGGAGCTGTTGAACACTAAACCTGCCTGTATTTCTGTGTTGTGAATCAATCCTAGGTCCCTGGGCAAGGTCAGTGTAACTAGCCAGATATCTCAAATGTGACACAAATGTTGTGCTATGTTGCCAATTCAGATGTATGTTGGTTCTGTGTATCCCAATACAAAGGATTGCAATACTAATACAGGCATACCTCAGTTTACCAATGCCTCGGTTAACGTAATTTTCGGTTTATGAATGAAAAATCCATTGAAAATAATGCCTCGGTTTACACAATTGTTAATAATTTTTTTCGCAATACAAAATGTATGTCGGCGCGGATTTTCAAATGCAAATGCCAGCCTTTTTTTTTTTTTCACTATAGTTCACAAGCTTAGAAGTCACTTTCCCCAAAGTTACAGAAAACTTTGTATCTTTTAATTAACTCAAAGTAAACATTGTTTCCTTTAGGGATATAAATTCCAAGAAAACTTTCTCTTTTAGCTGGGGGAAGTGACAGGGTGAATTTCTGAGCTATAGTGAAGAAAAAAAAAGGGAGAATTACATTTAAAAAACCAGCACCATAATAAATAAAAAAACAGCGTGGGTCCCCTCTCTCATCCATACCAAGCCCTTCAGGTCTGGTATGGATATTAAGGGGGAACTTTAAAAAAAAAAAAACAGCGTGGGGACCCCTCAATATCCATACCAGACCCTTATCTGAGCATGCAGCCTGGCAGGTCAGGAAAGGGGGGGGGGATGAGCGAGCGCCCCCCCCTCCTGAACCATACCAGGCCACATGCCCTCAACATGGGGGGGTGCTTTGGGGCAGGGGGGCTCCCCCCCAAAGCACCTTGTCCCCATGTCGATGAGGACAAGGGCCTCTTCCCGAAAACCCTGGCCAGTGGTTGTGGGGGTCCGCGGGTGGGGGGCTTATCAGAATCTGGAAGCCCCCTTAAACAAGGGGGCCCCCAGATCCTGCCCCCCCCCCACGTGATTGAGTCTGCGGTACATGGTCCCATGACTCATTCACAAAAAAAACAAAGTGTGGTGTAAAAAAAAACACAGTACAGGGTCTTTGACAAGTCCTTTATTAAAACAATGTCCCCCGAAGTAGATCCAACGTCAATCACGGCGGCAGCGGTGACCCGAAAAAGAGAAAAAAAAAAAGTTCCGCTCCCGTCCGAGGCTTCCAGCCTTGTGAAAAATAGGCTAGCTGACAGTTCTTAAATAGGTATGGGGCGGGGCCAGCCGGGGACATCATCCCCGCCCCTCACCTATTTAAGAACTGTCACCCTGTCTCTCCACTGAGGCTAACTAACTGAATGCAGGAGACAGTCGGACAGTTCTTATATAGGTATGGGGCGGAGCCAGCCGGGGACATCATCTGAGTGGCCCCGCCCCATGTCACATGCTTTCTGTTCCCGGCTGGCCCCGCCCCACACCTATATAAGAAATGTCAGCTAGCCTTTTTTTCACAAGGCTGGAAGCCTCCGACGTGAGCGGAACTTTTTTTTTTCTTTTTTAGGGTCGCCGCCGTGATTGACGTTGGATCTACTTCGGGGGACATTGTTTTAATAAAGGACTTGTCAAAGACCCTGTACTGTGTTTTTTTTTTACACCACACTTTTTTTTGGGAATGAGTCGCGGGACCATGTACCGCAGACTCATTCACGTGGGGGGGTGGGATCTGGGGACCCCTTCCAGATTCTGATAAGCCCCCCACCCGCAGACCCCCACAACCACCGGTCAGGGTTCTGGGGAAGAGGCCCTTGTCCTCATCGACATGGGGACAAGGTGCTTTGGGGGGGAGCCCCCCTGCCCCAAAGCACCCCCCCATGTTGAGGGCATGTGGCCTGGTATGGTTCAGGAGGGGGGCCGCTCGCTCGTCTCCCTCCCCTTTCCTGACCTGCCGGGCTGCATGCTCGGATAAGGGTCTGGTATGGATATTGAGGGGGTCCCTACGTTTTATTTTTTTTAAAATTTCGGCGTGGAGTTCCCCCTTAATATCCATACCAGACCTGAAGGGCTTGGTATGGATGAGAGGGGGGACCCACGCTGTTTTTTTTTTTTTTTTTTTTATTGCGGACCTTTATTTTTACATTCAGCTGTCAAAATAAATATTATCTAGACCTTCGAAATAAGTAAAATCATTACAGAAATAATTATAAAGGATAAGAAACAAAAATAGAATCACTAGAACTAAGGAAATCAAATTAGAATACATAAAGATATGCTTAGTGCTGTTTATTAAACACAGTAGACGCGACCGAGTGTCGGCTGTCAGAGGAATCCACACTGAGATTTACTATTGGGCAGTGGCTAAAAAGCAAGCGCCTGCAGAGGACGTCTAAAATGTGTTCTGCACATGCTCAGTTATATCGGCCAAAGACACTGCACGGGGCGTCTAGATTTTTACTGTGTCGATTTCCTTTAAAAAAACTATTTTTAACACATTCTTAATTTTTTTTTGAAATGGCAGATATTGTTTAAAGTGAAGTCCTGATATTTGGCAAAACAAATTTCTAAGTGAACATGTCTCTGCAGTGATTTTTCATGGTGTTAGACGTGCTTCTTAGCAAGTCTGCTTTGTCAGTCTGATTCCGGGCGTGTGTCTTGTTAGTAAATTCGATTGGGTGTCTACTTATGGGCGCTGCTCAATAGTAAATCTCATTGCAGGGTAAAAGTAGACGGTCGCTCATAAAAATTGGACGTGCGCCCCACGCCCAATAGTAAATCAGGGCCCATATGTCTCTCAGCAAATTCCTTGGGGTTTCCACTTTCCAAAAAGGGGTCATTTGGAGTCTTTTTTTTTTTTTACTGCCCTGGCATTTCAGCACCTCAAAAAATGTGATAGGTAGTCAGCAAGTAAAAGCTGTATAAATTTTAATACATATATACCATAGTTTGTAAACGCTCTAAGTTTCACACAAACCAATTAATATACCGTATTTTTCGCTCCATAAGACGCACCTGACCATACGACGCACCTAGGTTTTAGAGGAGGAAAACAAGAAAAAAAAATATTCTGAACCAATGGACTGCAGACACAGTACAGGGGATGACCAGAGACTGCGTACACAATACAGGAGATGACCAGAGACTGCGGACACAGTGCAGGGAATGACCAGAGACTGTGGACACAGTGCAGGAGATGACCAGAGACTGCGGACACAGTACAGGGGATGACCAGAGACTGCGGACACAGTGCAGGGAATGACCAGAGACTGCGGACACAGTGCAGGGAATGACCAGAGACTGTGGACACAGTGCAGGAGATGACCAGAGACTGCGGACACAGTACAGGGGATGACCAGAGACTGCGGACACAGTACAGGGGATGACCAGAGACTGCGGACAAAGTACAGGGGATGACCAGAGACTGCGGACACAGTGCAGGGAATGACCAGAGACTGCGGACACAGTGCAGGGAATGACCAGAGACTGCGGACACAGTACAGGAGATGACCAGAGACTGCGGACACAGTGCAGGGAATGACCACAGACTGCGGACACAGTACAGGGGATGACCAGAGACTGCGGACACAGTGCAGGGAATGACCAGAGACTGCGGACACAGTGCAGGAGATGACCAGAGACTGCGGACACAGTGCAGGGAATGACCAGAGACTGTAGACAGTGCAGGGCATGACCAGAGACTGCAGACAGTGCAGGGCATGACCAGAGACTGCGGACAGTGCAGGGAATGACCAGCGATTGCAGACAGTGCAGGGAATGACCAGCGATTGCAGACAGTGCAGGGGATGACCAGAGACTGCAGACAGTGCAGGGGATGACCAGAGACTGTAGACAGTGCAGGGGATGACCAGAGACTGCAGACAGTACAGGGGATGACCAGAGATTGCAGACAGTGCAGGGAATGACCAGAGACTGCAGACAGTGCAGGGGATGACCAGAGACTGCAGACAGTGCAGGGGATGACCAGAGACTGTAGACAGTGCAGGGGATGACCAGAGACTGCAGACAGTGCAGGGAATGAACAGAGACTGCTGACCTTTGGGGAGGGAGGGGGAGCGGGTACCTGAATTTGACAGGTACCCGCTCCCACTTCTGCGGAGTTGTCCTTCTCTCTTCTTCCCGGGCCGGCTTCTGTGACAGCCGGGTGCCCACTGCGCATGTGCGAGGAGCGCTGCGCTTTGTGAATGGCCCGGCGCCTTCTGGGACCTGTCATGTGTCCCAGAAGACACCGGATCATTCACAAAGCGCAGCACATGCGCAGTGGGCACCCGGCTGTCAGAAGCCAGCGCGGGAAGACTGTGCAGCGCTGGAGCGAGGAACAGGTAAGGCCCTGCAGGAGAGAACAGCTGAGCGGCCGGCCCGGTATTCTGACATGGTGGCGGCAGAAATACCGGACCGGCCGCTTTATATTCGCTCCATAAGACGCACTGACATTTTCCCCCCTTTTTTTTGGGGAAAAAAGTGCGTCTTATGGAGCGAAAAATACGGTACATGTATTGGTATTTTGTTTACCAAAGACATGTAGCAGAATACATTTTGGCCTACATTTATGGCTAACTTTGAGTTTGTTGGATATTTTATATAAAAGAAAGTAGAAAATTTTTGTTTTTGTTTTTTTTAATTTTCGGTCTTTTTTAATTTATATCACAAAAAATATATAACCCAGCGGTGATTAAATACCACCAATAGAAAGCTCTATTTGTGTGAAAAAAGGATATAAATTTCATTTGGGTACAGTGTTACATGACCACACAATTACCTAATTAGCACAGTGCCGAATAGCAAAAAATGGCCTGGCCAGGAGGGGGGGAAAACCTTTCAGGGCTGAAGTGGCTAAAGTCCCAAATCACACAGGTTGTGTCATGAATCACATCTCGGTATCTTACATGCTGGCACCACATTGTAGTATCTCAACTCTCCAAGTATTAGCCCTCATTCACACAAGCCTCCTGCTTTCAAATTAAAAGAAATGATCTGGAAAGTGTAAACAAACCTTTAATTCCCAGATCAAGTTCTCCTGCATTAAAATGTACATGAGTTTAGTTGCTTTCAGTGTATTTAATCAGCCCCATGACACACAGATTTTATATTTTTTTAATGCAGCTAAATTGAATGAACCTACATGCAGAGTGTGAAGTGTAGAAATTAAAATGATTACATTCATTTTTATGCATGTAGAAATACCATATAAATGCATCCTAACCCTCTTGTATTGAACTGTATCATTGCTGTATTGTCTCCCTTTATATTGTAAAGTGCTGAGCAAACTGTTGGAGCTATATAAATCCTGTATAATAATAATAATATAATTGGATTCCCATGTAAATGAGTCTGTAAAAGTGAAAGAATTAAACCGTTTTCACAGCTTGACTTTATTTGATCCTCCTCTTTAACCCAGAAGCAGTGACCCTGAGTGGCTGAAGTTATTGGAATTTGACATCTCTGCCTAGTATGCAGTATTTAATCATGTAAAGGCGGTAAACATGACCTTTGCTGTTATGTTACAGCAAGCTTTGTGAGAGGAAATTGGATTCCTTCCAATGAGGTCACTACTCTGCCTTAATGAGCGAGGCTCTTGGGTGAGGCAATGCGTCAGAAATTTATAGATGCAATACACAAGGCAGGAATTGTAATTGCTTTTTATCATGTGATGTCTTGTGAAAGAGGAAGTTTAAAGTTTTAGTCACGTACACGTTGTCCTCTTAGTCAGACTTTTTTTTTTTTTTTTCATGAGCTGCTTTAGTTAATGAATGTAGTTTTACAACTGTAAGGGGTTGTTTGAAAGTTGTAGCCTTGGGTAATGCAAACATGGCTCATTGTAACCAGCAAACATCCATGCTTTAACTGTAATATGGACTTATTACTCAACTGGGTACAATTGTTAACAGACTTTTTTCATTAATGTTATGTTTATTTTTTTTTTAAATCTGTTTTACTTTCTGTTAATTAATTCACATCTCTCTAGGACAGTTTAAATTCTTGAATAAAGCTACTAGGTCCCTGATGCCCAACATTTGACCAATCTAGGTGCTGGACACAAGTGCTGGGCTGGGTCTGCCATCTGTTGAGCACCACAGTGCAGCACAGCAGCAGTGGAGTGCCAAGCACTGAAGAGCTCTCTGCATTTCATCACCTGGCACCAATGTTGCCAACATACCATTGAAATTCACTGAAACGACATCCAAAACTTACTGGCACAGCCACATTTTTGCTGGCATTTCCAAAAGTTACAAAATTAGTTTTAAGTGCAAATTTCAGTATTTAGGCTACAAACAAGTACAATGTGCAATTAGCAATGTAATTTAAGGTAGATATTAAGGTAAAAAACATATTTCTTGTGTTTGCCCCCATGGAGAGAGAGAAACCACTTTTGTCCCCACAGAGAGAAAGAGAGAGACCATTTTGCCCCACAGCCAGAGCCAAGAGAGCCCCTCAGCCAACCTGCAGTGCCAAGCAAACTGAATTCTACCCCCCATCCTTTCCAAGCTCAGGAAGGGCATGATATGGGGCCTAGGGGCCACCTACAATCTAAAGGAGAAACCATTAAATAAGTCATCAAAATGTTTTCACATTTTTCGTGCTCTTATGCCTACAGTAACTCTTTTCCCCTTTTTATGCACTGTTTAGTTTATAAATTGTTATATGAAGCTATAAAAATATTTGTGCAATCATGCTTATTTCTTTTTCAGCTTGTGATTAATGGGGGATTTGGCATCTATAGCCATGTTACCTTGACATTGATTTCAATACATGTTCATGCAGTACAGCAGAAATATCTAGTGGTATCAAGCAGCATGCTGGTGGCATCTAGTGGTCTCTTCAAGGATGTCATTGGTATCTAGTGATCTCTTACAGCATGTAAGTGGCCTCTAGTTCCCTGTTGCCGCATGCTACAACTTCTAAATGATAATCACTATTAGAAACCATTGTAATAGTGATTATCATTTTGAAATTGTCTGTCACAATTTAAACACACCCCATAAAACCATACCGACATTTTGCCACGCCTGCAGTTTGTAAGCCCCATGTTTGCCTTAATTTTCTCATTCACACACCCCTGGAGTGGAGGACAGGCAGGATTCACTGCATGTTGACATTCAGAATGATTCCAACCCCTCCTGTGGCTTCCTAACAGGTCCTCTGTGGCTCCAGCTCGCTGGTACTGACTGTTAGGATTCAAGCAGGTACATCTGTTCTGTACAGACTGCAGTTTAGAAGAACAGTTGCATTAAGTGCAAAAAGCTTTGGCGGAGTTATATCGATCAACAATTTAAAGAGTGGCCATTTTTTGTACTGTTAAATTGTTGGTCGAGGGGGCGCACTGGACACCTTAGCTGCCATTGTGCTACATGCTGGGTGTCCAGTGCACTCCTGTACCATTAAGGAGGGGTGGGCTCCCTCGGGTCCATTTGCCCTTGGTCTATCCATTAAATACTGTACATGTGCCTGTACTATGGGGGCTCTTAAAATTGGAGAGTTAGGAACTACAGAATACTGGGGTGCCGTGACGAGGCTCTGTAGCTTACGCATGTATTTGCAAATGTGTGGTAACTAAACTTAACGCATACTGTTAGACAGGTTAATTCGGTTTGTTTGCGGACTGGCTGGCAAGTTAGAGCTGGGATTTTTTTTTTTTTTGTTGTTTGACCTGATACAGTGATAGGTTGCCACTTGTGCAAAAAGTCCATCCGTGAAATTTCCTTGCTACTAAATATACCACAGTCAACTTTTAGTGGTATTATAACGAAGTAGAAGCAACTGAGAACAACAGCAACTCAGCCACGAGGTGGAAGGCCATGTAAAATGACAGAGTGAGATCAGCGCATGCTGAAGCGCACAGTGCGCAGAAGTCGCCAACTGTCTGCAGAGTCAATATCTAAAGACTTCCAAACTTCATGTGGCCTTCAGATTAGCACAACAGTGCGTAGAGCTGTATGAAATGAGTTTGCATGGCTGAGCAGCTGCATTCAAGCCTTACATCTCCAAATGCAATGCAAAGCGTCGGTTACAGTGGTGTAAAGTACACCCCCACTGGACTGTAGAGCAGTTGAGACGTGTTCTCTGGAGTGATGAATCATGCTTCTCTCTCTGGCAATCTGTTGGACGTGTCTGGGTTTGGCGGTTGCCAGGAGAACAGTACTTGCCTGACTGCATTGTGCAAAGTGTAAAGTTTGGTGCAGGGGGGATTATGGTGTGGGGTTATTTTTCAGGGGTTGGGCTTGGCCCCTTAGTTCCAGTGAAGGGAACTCTTAAGGCGTCAGTTTACCAAGACATTTTGGACAATTTCATGCGCCCATCTTTGTGGGAACAGTTTGGGGATGGCCCCTTCCTGTTCCAACATGACTGCGCACCAGTGCACGAAGCAAGGTCCATAAAGAAATGAATGAGTGAGTTTGGGGTGGAGGAACTTGACTGGCCTGCACAGAGCCCTGATCTCAACCCGACAGAACACATTTGGGATGAATTAGAGCGGCGACTGCGAACCAGGCCCTCTCGTCCAACATCAGTGCCTGACCTCACAAACGTGCTTCTGGAAGAATGGTCAAACATTCCCGTACACAAACTCCTAAACCTTGTGGACAGCCTTCCCTGATGAGTTGAAGCTATTATAGTTGCAATGGGTGGGCCAACTCAATATTGAACCGTATGGACTAAGACTCGGATGCCATTAAAGTTCATATATGTGTAAAGGCAGGCGTCCCAATACTTTTGGCAATAATATTACATAGTGTAAATGTTTCAGATCTTTTTAATACTTTCTGAAAATGTTCTTAGCCTAAAAAATAGAAAACTACCACATCTAAGTACTGATAATCTGCAAAATGTATAGGTTTTGTTTTTAGGTTTAGAAATGCTTTAACAACAATTTTCCATGCAGGGCGAAGCAAAAGGTTGACTTCAAAGCCTATTCCTCAAATCAAGGCCACTATATTGCAAGGACATTAAAATATTTTAGGTTAGGATTTTGAAATATATGCCCAGAGTAAGCTGGCGGTTTTGTTCGGATACTATCTTTGTCACTGTTGATATACAATAAAAACAGGGAAATGTAATTTATACCAACAGTTTTTACAAACACCTTGAATATTTCCTGCTTTGTGTGAATTGCTATTCGTGATGAGCAAATCAGCTAAAATTACATTTGACCCAAATATGATGAAGTTATCAAAAATTTGCCAAAGTCAAACTCCAATGGAGATGAATTTTAATGGTAACTTCTTGCCCTTTGAAGAGCACTGGAATCATGACACAGTTCTGGTCAATCTTTTGCTAGTGAGGTCCTCATGGAAAATATACAAACCTTTTTAAATTGCAGTTTGGAAATGCCTTAAAACTGCATGTGGTATTAAGAACCATGCCTCAGAAAAAGCACACTTTGACAGCACATATTTAGCTGTGGAATTAACATATTTTATCCTTGTTAACAGACTGCAGCAGCACCCAGATTACTTTTATTTGATAAATTTCATAAAAAAGGTGCTTCTATGGCAATTTTAACAGTGTCACATGTTTTCTTCAAACTGTACTGGACCTACTGTATTTTTCGCTCCATAAGACGCACCTGACCATAAGACCACCTAGGTTTTAGAGGCAGAAAACGAGATAAAAAATATTCTGAACCAATGGACTACAGACATAGTACAGGAGATGACCAGAGATTGCAGACATAGTACAGGAGATGACCAGAGACTGCAGACACAGTACAGGAGATGACCAGAGACTGCGGACAGTGCAGGGGATGACCAGAGACTGCAGACAGTACAGGGGATGACCAGAGACTGCGGACAGTACAGGGGATGACCAGAGACTGCGGACAGTACAGGAGATGACCAGAGACTGTGGACAGTACTGGAGATGACCAGAGACTGTGGACATAGTACAGATGACCAGAGACTGCGGACACAGTACAGGAGATGACTGCGGGCAGTACAGGGGATGACCAGAGACTGCGGGCAGTACAGGGGATGACCAGAGACTGCGGACAGTACAGGAGACAACCAGAGACTGCGGACTGTGTGGACAGTACAGGAGATGACTGCTGACCTTTGGGGAGGGGGAGTGGGTACCTGAATTTGACAGGTACCCGCTCCCACTTTCACGGAGTTGTCCTCCCTTTAGTGTGGGCACCCGGCTGACAGCCGGGTGTCCAGTGTGCCTGCACCAGAAGCGCTGCGCTTTGTGATTGGTCCACCGTTTTCTGGGACCTGTCATGTGTCCCAGAAGACGCCGTACCATTCACAAAGTGGCGGCGGCTTCGGAGGAGGAGTGGGGTTGCCAGGGAGACGCCAGTGAGACGGACGAGGCAGTGGAGCGGCGCAGACACGTGGGCAGCAGTGGAGGAGCTCTGGGAGATCTGGGTGTGGGAGAGATTGCCTGGCGTCTGAGCAAGTGGGAGAAGTGGGGGAGGCGAACCAGCATACTGCCTCCACATCACACCATCTCCATACCATCTCCCTTATTCCTCTAATCTCCCTACCTCCATACCATCCCTATACCATACCATCCCTACAGCCTTACACCACCGCCACAACACGGTTAACCCCCCAACCTCCATACCTCTCCCATTCTCTAATCTAATATTTACCAGTATACCACCACCAATCTAAGGAGGTATCTGATGGGAAGATAAGTTATATGAGACCCACAGGAATCCCCTTAAGAGGATACAACTTCAGAGGAGGACTGCTTCTGGAGTGATATTCCAATGTGGAGGGTGAGTGATGACCGTGGGTTTTCCTGCAGGTCTTCTTTTACACTCTTTATACATTGGACCTGTATATTGGAGCTTTATATACATTGATTCCTCGTATTAGACCTTCAGATGCCTGTAGTAAGACATTGCATTAAATATACAATCTGAAAATAAAAGAAATAGGGGATTCCTAGGGCGGGTCTGAAGATCGGGAAGAGTAAGAGAACAGGAGATTTGGAAATAAGAGTAAAAGTTTCAAAAACAACATGAAAGGTAAAAATACCAAAGGGAGTGGGCCTAAGAACTCCCAAACCGGTACGATTAACAAGTATTTGTCACAAGGAAATGTTACCCCAGAAAGAACTCAGGGAATAAGTGAAAAAAGTGAATTGGAAATAAGTTTGGATAACAGCCCGAGACTTTCCCTGGGCCCGGTATATAATAGTCAACAATTAATGGAAGCCATTGACCCGAGAGATCTTGAAAGGGATATGCAAATACCTAATAAAAAAGAAATGGCGGAGATGTTTAAAGGCCTGGAAAAATCAATGAAGCATGAGATGGGGATGATCCAGGAAGAACTGGGACAATTGTTAACTAGGGTGGAGGAAATGGAGGAAAAAGTTCAAACTCATACCCAATCCATCCCAAAATTAGAAAAATGGATACTAGAAGAGAGAAAAGAACAAAAGAGATTGCTTTATATGATGGAAGAACAAGAAAATAGAGAAAGGAGAAATAATCTCAGAGTAAGAGGAGTTCCGGAACTGACACAGGGGGAGGATCTAAAAGATTTAAAAGAGCTAACTGGCAAAATTTTGAACTCCATAATGGATAAATCGGATGAGGAGAATTTTAAATTGGGCGGAGTGCACAGGATTGGGAAGTATCAACAAGAAAAAGGGATAGAAAAACCAAGAGATATAATTGTTAAATTCCATAACTACGGAGATAGAGAAGAGATATGGAAAAAGATTAAAGGAAGAACAAATATTACATATGGAGGGAAAAGTATTCAAATTTTTGCAGATTTAACAGCAGAGACTCTGAGAAGGAAGAGATCACTGAAACCCGTACTAGAAATGATGAAAAAACATAATGTGAAATACAGATGGGGTCGTGCTACAAGTTTAATTGGGTGGAGGGATGGAATTACAGCTATTTTAAGATTTCCGGAAGATATGGAAGATTTCTGTGATAAACTTGGACTGCAGAGACAAGTGATACCGGGTTGGGAAGTGGAGGAGGGAGAGTTGGACATTTGTGGGTCAGGAAAGTGGCAGCTGGTTAAAAGAGGAAATAGAGAGTCAATAGATAAGGGGACACCGGGGAGGAGGGGGGGAAGGTGAGCGGTCATAGATGGAGTCGAACCCCTATAGAGGGATCAAAGGTGGAACATGATCCAAAGGCAAAGGAGGCCTGGGGGGGGTAGGGAGGTGGGAGGGTGGGGGGAAGGAGGTGTCAGGGGGGAGGGTTAGGGAGGGATGGGTTTTAGGGGCAACACTCTGCATGATGGAAGGGGAAAAGAAAAAAAAAAAAGAAGAAGAAAACAGAGAGATAAAACAGATGATAGATCTCCGATTTATAACATATAATGTAAAAGGATTGAATTGCCCTGGGAAGAGATTTTAAATTATTCAAGGAGCTACAGCATAGAGAAGCTATGGTGGTATTTTTGCAGGAGACACACCTAGAGATTAAGTCAAATATAAAGTTGTACTCTAGAAATTACCCAACATGGTTTTATGCGGATTCCCCAATTAAGAGAGCTAAGGGAGTAGCAATAGGGTTTGCAAAAAATGTAATGTGGGAGATAGAAGAGAGAGAGGTAGATCCTTTTTTTTTTTTAATTTAAATATTTATTAAATTTTTCATGTTAATACAAAAACCCAAAAAGGTAAATAATTCTCATACAAATAGACATTTATAACATTTCTACCTTTCCCTTACTAAAAACTTTTTTTCTTTCCCATCCCACTACCCCCCCTTCCCGCCCCTCCTCCCCCTCTGCAGACTCTAGCCCATTCTAATCTCTTGAGGCTTATTAATTTTTTGCTAACATCCTAGTTCATATTTTCCTATATTTCTCTTTCAATCCTGCTCTTTCCCACTTTTCCCATCTCCTAAAATAAACTCTCATCCTATCTTCCTGCATATGATATGATCTTTCCATTCTACCTATCTGGTTTACTCTGTTAATCCAGTCTTCCTCCTTCGGTACCTCAGCTTTCCACCAAAACTTGGGTATCAACCCTTTCGCCGCATTCAAGAAGTACCAAATACCTGAATCTTTATATTTATTTACAGATGTCTCCACATTGTGTAGGAGGCACGTCGTGGGGTCTAACCCTATGTCAATTTCAGTTATTTCTTCAATCAGTTTGACTATTATCTTCCAAAAAGCCTGGATTTTCGGACATTCCCACCATATGTTGAAACACCGTGCCTATCTCTCCACATCCTCTCCAACACATATTTGAATTTTCCCCATTCATCTTGTGCTCTACACTCGGTGTAATGTGCCATCGTGTCACACACTTATAATTAACCTCAACCTCTCTCATACTAACATTATCGTGTATCAATCTAAACATCTTTCTCTGTCTATCTTCATCAAACCCAACTCCCATATCCCTTTCCCATTTTGTGATAAAAGTTAACTTTGTGTTTGTGTCTAATTCTGTGAGTATTCTATACACTTTTGAAATACCGTGCTTCCCATCCCTTCGTGTCTCTAACAACCTTTCAAACATATTCCACTCCTGTTTTATTCTCAGGGGTTTCGGTAGATTTCCAATAAAACATTTCAATTGATGATATTTCCACTCATCTATTCTAATAAAAATATCTCCCTTCTTCTCTATTAAATCTTTAAGTGATCTCAGTTCCCCCTCCACCAAAACATCTCTCAGTTGGGTATCCTCCTTTCTAAACCATCTCTTTCCCTGATATCTTATTCTTTCCCGGGGGAAAGTACTCAGTATTTGTGAGAGGCATTAATATAGAATTAAATTCCTATTTCATGTTTTTGTGTAAATTGTCCCATACCCTAAAAACATTTAAAGTGTAGACACTTGTGCTTTCTTTAATTCCCCTGAACTGTGGTGGAACCCATATCATCTGACTCAATCTAATGCCACTAAGATCATTTTCAATTGTTACCCAACTTTTCCCCTTATGGTTAAATGTCCAGTCATATATTCTTGCTAAAACCACTGCTTTATAGTATCTCTTGACATCTGGTAGACCCAATCCCCCTTTCTCTTTAGTCCTACTCAATGTTTCATATGCTATTCTAGGTTTATTATTCTTCCATATGTATCTTGTTAACATTTTTTTCATTATCTTAAAGAAGGCTTCTGGAATTTTAATTGGTACCATTTGAAATCTATACAGTATTTTAGGCATAATTACCATTTTGACTAGGTTTATACGTCCTATCCAGGATGGATTTCCTTTTTCTAGTCTTTTTAAATCTTCCCTGATCTCATTTATTAAAGAGATATAGTTTAATCTATACAAATGCTTAGATGAGGCAGTGAGTTTTATTCCTAGGTATTTTATCTTTTTTTCTCTCCATATAAAGGGGAATTCTTTTTGTAGTTTTTCTTTTTCATTCTTTGATATATTAATATTTAGGATCTCTGTTTCGTTGGATTTATTTTTAAATTTGATAGTTCACCGTACTCCTTCAGAATCTTCATTATATTTGGGAGAGTTATTCGGGGATTCCCCACATAGAACAATAAGTCGTCCGCAAAGGCCGCTACTCTATGTTCTATGGATTCTACCTGAATTCCCTTTACCGATCCACTATTTCTTATTATTGACAACAGAGGTTCGAGTGACAATACATATAGCAGAGGGGACAGTGGACAACCCTGTCTTGTACCATTAGACATTCCAATGGGTTCTGATCTCTCCCCATTTACCGTGATGATTGCAGTAGGCTCCCTATATAATTTACTTATCCACTCTCGCATTCTATCACCTATCCCCAGCACTTTTAAGTTGTCCATCATAAAGCCCCAGTCCACTCTATCAAATGCCTTCTCTGCATCAATTGACAAGAGCACCACCGGGGCTTTCCCTTTTCTACTTTTCTGAATAAGCATCAGGGTTCTCAAGCCGTTATCTCTACCTTCTCTCCCCGGTACAAAGCCCACCTGGTCTCCATGGATCCATTCAGGCATCAGATCCCTCAACCTGTTTGCTAACACCTTTGCATACAGTTTAGTGTCGGTGTTCGATAGTGAGATAGGTCTATAGCTGGAGCACTGAGATGGATCTTTTCCCTCTTTGTGAATAAGTACTACATGGGCCTGCAGGGATTCTCTCCTCATTTCCATCGCACCTCCCAGAGCATTCATATATTTCTCCAGTTTGGGTAACAGTACTTCACTAAATTTCTTATAGTACTTAACTGTATAGCCATCCGGGCCTGGGCTTTTTCCCCCCCCCCTGTGCTTTTTAATGCTATTTTAATTTCTTCCTGGGAAATTTCTGCGTCTAGGGAGTTCAACTGTGCTTCACTTAGTTTTGGTAATCCCGCATTTTTTAAGTATGTCATCTTTTTTTCATTAATTCCTTCTTGAGCTTCTTTTAGAGGGCCTTGGGGACTAATATTATATAACTTTTTGTAATACTCCGTAAACACTTTAATAATCTCTTTATTTGAGTGGACCAACTCCCCCTTTGAACTTTTTATCTTTTCTATATAGTTCCTATTTTTCTTTTTATTCAGAGCTCTCATTAGATATCTTCCTGGTCTGTCTCCCCATCTATATCTCTCGTTCAAAACCCTGTTGTATACTCTTTCGTTCTCCTCGTCCATCAACCTCTCTAGCTCATCTTTTTTATCCAGCAACTTCTGTCTCGTATCTTTTGTTATTTTCTTCTTATGGATCTGCTCCAGGTCCAATATTTCTTTTAAGAGTCCACTGACCCTCTCTCTTCTTTCCTTTTTCTTCCTTGCTCCTGCCGCAATCAAGATTCCTCTTATGAATATCTTGTGGCTTTCCCAGACTGTAGCTATCGATACTTCCTCTGTTTCGTTCTCCTTAAAGTATACCTTAATCTCTTTCTCAATTTTCTGAACTACATCCTTATCCAGAAGAAGAACCTCATTTAACCTCCACCCTAATCCTCCAGTCCACCTTCTTCCCCATCCCATTTTCATTACGACCGGAGCATGATCCGAGAACGTCCTTGTCTCTATGTCAATTTTAACCAGATGATCTATAAGTTGATGGTCTATTAAGATGTACATTAGAGAAGAAGGTATAGTCTCTGTCTTTCATATGCGTTATTCTCCAGATGTCCACTAGTTGATATTCATGCATCACTTTTTTCAAAGCTCTCAGAGACCTACTCCCCTCTCTTTGCACGGAAGAGGTATTATCCTTTTGTGGGTCCATACAGAAATTTAGGTCTCCTGCTACTATCAAGCGCCCCTTTTTAAATTCCATTAATTTTCCCAACAGACCCTTCATATACATCTCCGGGTTTTTATTAGGGCAGTATATATTGGCCAAAGTACACTCAATCCCCTGAAGTCTACCTTTTAAGAATAAAAACCTCCCGTCCGGGTCGGTTCTTCTATCCTCTAGCTCAAATCTCATATTCTTTGCAAAACCTATTGCAACCCCTTTTGCTCTTTTAATTGGAGAATCTGCATAATACCATGTTGGGTAGTGTTTGGATTTCAATTTCACGTTTGCCTCTATCTCAAAGTGCGTCTCCTGTAAAAATACCACTGACGTAGCCCTATGATGTAACTCATTAAACAACCTAAATCTCTTCCCTGGACAACTCGGCCCGTTCACATTATAGGTTATAAACTGTATTTCTTCCATCTTTCCCAGTTAACTCCATCTCTCTTCCAAATTGCCTCTTCCTCTTTATCCCTTCTGTCATGCAGAGTGTTGACCCAATACCTCCTCCCCTCCCTCACTCCAACCCGACTCCCATCCCCCCCCTCCCCTCCACCCCACCCACCCCCCCCTCCATCCTCTCCCTACCCCTCTCTCCCACCCCCCCATTAGGCCTACTAATTGCCTTCTAATCATTTGTGGACCTAGTGCCACGTTTGATTTTTGACCCTGGGGTTGAACTCTGACCCTGTACGGTTCACCTTCCCCCCAAAGTTCCCTTATCTATCCATTCTCTATTTCTCTTTTTACCTTGCTGCCATTCCCCTTTCCCCCAGCATATATCCCTCCTTCTTCCTCCCCCCAACCTGGAATCTCTATTCTCTGGATGTCAAGTTTATCAAAAAAGTCTCTCAGTTCCTCAGGAAATCTTAAGTATGCGGTAACTCCATTCTTCCATCCGATTAAACACATCGAGCTACTCCATCTATATTGTATATTCTGTTTTTTCATCTGTTCTAATAGTGGTTTCAATGATCTCTTTCTCCTCAATGTCTCAACTGTCAGGTCTGCAAAAACTTGTATATTTTTCCCTTCATATTTAATGCTGGTTCTTCCTTTTATCTTCTTCCATATTTCTTCTCTCTCTCCATTTTTATGGAATTGTACAACTACATCTCTCGGTCTCTCTTCCACCTGCTCTCGTTGGAGCCTTCCTATTCTGTATACATTATCCAGTTCACATGTCTCTGTACTAGATTTATCCATAATGGAGTTTAAAATTTTATGTACTGTCCCTTTTAAATCTTCTCCTTGTGCAGGTTCCGGGACTCCTTTTATTCTGAGGTTATTTTTTCTATGCATGTTACCTTGAGTCTCCAGCTTATACCACAGCTTATTTTGTGCTTTCCTTATCTCCATTAACTGATTTCTCAATTCAGGGATAGCTTGTTTATATTTTTTAATTTTTGCTTCTGTTTCTTCTACTCTTGATAGTAAATGTCCTAAATCATTCCGGATAATTCCCATCTCTTGTTTAATAGATTTTTCCAAATTTCTAAACATTTCTGCCATCTCCTTTTTATTTGGGATTTGTAGTTCTCCTTCATTTTCTCTCAGCTCTGTTCCCCTCTGGTGTTAATTGACTATTATTATGCATTTCCACAGATGACCTGACGCTCCTATCCATACTTTTTTCCAATATACTTCCTTCACATATCCCCTGAGATCTTTCTGGGGTCACATTACCCTGGGATATAAATTTTTTTATCGTTCCAGATTGGGGTGCTTGGGACCGCTCCCTTTACTATTTTTACTCTTCATATTTTTTGTAGGTCCTGTCTCTCTCCTTTAAGCCTTTAGGGCATATGTTGTAATACGTCCTTTTAAAGAAGGTCCATTTCTTCTGCCCCTTTGGGAATCCCCCCTATTTATTCCTCTCCTGCTTCCATACTTTACAGTCCATATACAAATTTAATATGTAATTCAGCCACTCTCACTCACCCTTCTCCGACTGCTTTTCCAGGAAGGCTGCCTTTCAAGCTCATTGTCCTCTATTCAGGGGTCCCTTCAGGCATTATTTCCTCTTTTGGGGGATTCCTCCGGGTTCCTCTCTTTCTCCTTTGCGCCCCTTCTTCTCCACAGGTGGCCAGCAGAACAGGACTCCCCTTCGTTGGGACGGTGTTTCCCCAGTTTCTTAAAAACACCGTCCGCCTTACAGCGCTGCTGCTCTCCCAAAGCTGGGTCCTCGTGGCCTGTCAGTGAGAGAGCCGGCGTCTCCCTCTGCCTAGGAGAGACAACCGGCTTCTCTTCCTCCCAGTACTCCCTTGCGGGAGGTCACGTGACCGCCTCGCGTCCCCTGGTCTCCCAGCAGCCCACTGCATCCGACGAGGGGTTTAGTTCGTCCCACTGCCGCGGTCCCCGAAAGCTTCGTCCTCTCCACTCTTCAGGCGGGACCCCCTCTCAAAGGTAGGGTTAAGCTGGGCTCCTCTGCAGCATGTTTCTTAGGAACGATGGGGTGAGGATGGCTATCCCACGGAGAGCGTTCACATCGCTCTCTCTCCTGCCGCCATGGTCAGGCTCCTCCCTCTACCGAGAGAGAGGTAGATCCTGAGGGGAGATTTTTGTTCTTGAAGGGTAGATTACAAGAGCAGGAATGTACAATTGTGAATATCTACTGCCCAAATAAAAGACCAGAAGCTTATCTGAAGGGAGTCTTGAGAAAACTGATGGCCTTTAAGAAGGGACGCTTGATAGTGGCAGGGGATTTGAATTTTTGTATGGACCCACAAATGGATACGACCTCTTCTGTGCAACGAGAGGGAGGTAGAGCTCTGAGATTCCTGAAGAGGGTGATACATGAGTGTCAACTGGTGGATATTTGGAGAGTGATTCATGGAATAGAGAGAGATTATACCTTCTTCTCCAAAGCACATGAGATGTACTCCAGATTGGATTATATATTGGTAGATCATCAACTTATAGAATTGGTGGATAAAGTAGAAATAGAGGTGATGTCCCTTTCAGATCATGCCCCTGTGACACTGAAAGTGAGGTGGAGAAGACGATTGACAGGTGGGATAGGTTGGAAGTTGAATGAGGCTCTTCTCCTGGATCAGGAGGTGGATCAGAGGATCAGAGAGGAGATTGAAAGATTTTTTCAAGAGAACGAGACAGGGGTGGTGTCGGTGGCTACAGTGTGGGAATCCCATAAGGCCTATATAAGAGGTATACTGATCGCTGCCGGGGCAAAAAAGAAAAGGGAAAGAAGAGAAAAACTTACTGGGTTGCTAAAAGAAATATCTGACTTGGAGCAGATACATAAAAGTAAAAGATCAGAAGAGATAAGACAGAAGGTAATAAAAAAGAAAGAAGAGCTAGAGTTACTGATGGAGGAGGAGAAGAGAAGAGTCTTTAATAAAGTGAGAGGTATAGATGGGAAGATAAACCAGGAAAATATTTAATGAGAGCCTTGAGGAAAAAAAAAAAAATAGGAACTATATAGAGAAAATAAAAAACCCCAAGGGAGAAATGGTTTATTCTACTAAAGAGATTATTAAGGTGTTTAAAGAATACTATAGTAAACTGTATAATATTGCCCCCCAAGACCCAGTAAATATAATTGGGAATGAGAGAAGAGAGAAAGATGGGAATATCTAAAAAATGCAGGACTACCGCAGCTAAGCTATGACCAACTGAATTCCCTTGATTTGGAAATAACACAGGAAGAAATAATAAGAGCATTAAAGAGTATTATGACGGGGAAAAGCCCGGGCCCAGATGGTTATACAGCGAGGTACTATAAAAAATACAGTGACCTATGAATACCCAAATTGAAGAATTATATGAATGCCCTGGGGGAGGAGAGATGGAGATGAGAGGGAATCTTTACAGGCCCATGTAGTGCTGATACAAAAGGAAGGGAAGGATGTCTCTCAGTGCTCTAGATATAGACCGATATCACTCTTGAACATAGACACTAAGTTATACGCAAAGGTCCTAGCAAATAGGATAAAGAATTTTATGCCAGAATGAATCCAGGGGGACCAGGTGGGATTTGTCCCAGGGAGGGAGGGTAGAGATAATGGGCTGAGAACTCTGTTGCTAATCCAAAAAGCTAGGAAGGGGAAAACCCCGGTAGTAGTGCTTTCTATCGATGCTGAAAAGGCTTTCGATAGAGTAGATTGGGGCTTTATGATGGATACCCTGGAAACACTAGGAATGGGAGTAAGAATGAGAGAGTGGATAAGAAAATTGTATAGAGAGCCCTCAGCGGTTGTCGTGGTTAATGGAGAGAGGTCGGAACCTATTGTGATGTCAAATGGAACTAGACAGGGATGTCCATTATCCCCATTGTTGTATGTCTTGACATTGGAACCTTTATTGGCAAATATTAGGAAGAATATAGATATAAAAGGAGTGCAGATAGGAGAAGTCGAACATAAGGTAGCTGCCTTTGCGGATGACCTGTTGTTTTATGTGGGAAATCCTAGGATAACACTCCCAAATCTAATGAAGAGCTTAAAGGATTATGGGGAGCTATCAAACTTGAAAATCAATCCAACAAAAACTGAGATCTTAAATGTAAACCTTCCAAATAGTGAAAAAGAAAAAATACAAAAAGAATTCCCCTTTATATGGAAAAAGAGAGAGATAAAGTATCTGGGGGTTAAACTTTCTGCTTCATATACGAACCTGTATAAATTAAACTATATCCCACTCTTAAATGAGATCAAGGAGGAATTAAGGAGATTGGGAGGAGGTAATCCGTCTTGGATAGGCCATATAAACTTGATAAAAATGATAATTGTACCAAAAATCCTCTATAAATTCCAGATGATTCCAGTCAAAATCCCGGAGGTCTTTTTTAAAGTAATAAAAAGGATGTTAACAAAATACATATGGAAAAATAAAAAACCTAGAATATCATATGACTTGTTAAGTAGAAAAAAGGAGAAGGGAGGTTTGGGAGTACCAGATATTAAGAGGTATTATAGAGCAGCAGTCCTAGCGAGAATTTATGATTGGACACATAACCAAGAGGGGAAAAGGTAGGTTCAGATTGAGAATGAACTAAGTAGAGTTACCTTGAGTAGAATTATATGGGCACCAGCACAATATAGAGGGTTAAAAGATACCACGAGTGTTTTTACATTAACTGTTTTTAAGGTTTGGGATAAGTTGCATAAACTTATGAAATGGGATTTTAATTCACAATTAATATCACTGAGGAACACAGATTATTTTCCCCCAGGTAAGGAGGAAAGCACAGGAAAATTGTTTAAAAAAGAAGATATCCAATTGAGAGATATAATGGAAGGACAGGAATTGAGAACACTTAAGGATTTGAAAATAGATAAAAGGGAACTTTTCATTAAAATAGATGAGTGGAAATATCACCAATTAAAACACTTTGTCAGAAACCTTCCAAAACCGTTGAGATCGAGAAAGGATTGGAATCTGTTTGAGAGGTTGTTAGAAACACGAGGTGATGGGAGGTGAGGCACGGCAAAAATTTACAAGACCCTCACTGAGTTAGACACTTACACAAAGCCAATGTATATAATAAAATGGGAAAGAGATTTGGGAATAGAGATAGATGAAGACAAACAAAGGAAAATATATAGATTAATACACGAGAATATAATTATGAGAGAGGTGGAGTTAAATTATAAGTGTTTAACGAGATGGCACATCACACCGAAGGTTGAGTATAAGATATATGGGGAAAATTCACAAGAGTGCAGGAGGGGGTTGTGGAAAAATAGGCACGTTATATCATATATGGTGGGAGTGCCCAAAGATCCAAGGTTTCTGGGAGATAATTGTCCAACTAATTGAGAATATCTCTGGGATAAAGATAGGACTGGACCCAGATGTATGTCTACTACATAGTACAGAGTTATCAGTAAATAAATATAAGGACTCGGGTATATGGTGCTACCTGAATGCGGCGAAGGGTTTGAAACCTAAGTTTTGGTATAGACCAGAGGTGCCGAAGATAGAGGGCTGGGTGGAAAGAACGAATCAAATTTGCAAGATGGAGAGATTGTGTTATATGCAGGAAGACAGGACGGGGTTGTTCTCTAGGAGGTGGAGAAAATAGGAAGAATTTATGGTGAAATATATGAAGTAGTAATGTGAGAAAGATGAAAGGATTTACATACCCCATATTCTTGTTGGGAAAAGAGATAATAGAATAATGCAGAGTGGGTGGGTTCATAGGGGGGGGAGGGAGGTTTTTATTTAAGGGAGGAGGGGAAATTAGATAGAGGGGGGGAAGTAAATGGGAATAAAGATAGTAAGAAATGTTATTAATGATATGGAAATGTTTTTTTTTTTGTATGAGCATAATGATGAAAAATGTATTATATATGAAAAATGAATAAAAATTTAATTAAAAAAAACAAAAAAACAAAGTGCGGCGCTACTCGCACATGCGCACTGGGCACCTGGCTGTCAAGCCGAGAGACCACACTAAAGAAGCCGGCGCGGGAAGACTGCGCAGCGATGGAGCGAGGAACAGGTAAGGTCCTGCTGCAGAGCTGAGCGGCCAGCCCGGTATTCTGACACGGCAGCTGTGGAAATACCGGACCGGCCGCTCCATATTCGCTCCATAAGACGCACTGACATTTTCCCCCCTTTTTTGAGGGGAAAAAAGTGCGTCTTATAGAGCGAAAAATACAGTACTTTGATTGGCAGAGGTATTATGATTATTTTTATAAATATTATTATCTGCCATCAAGTTGACTCCTGGTGATCACATGAATAGTGTTTATGCAGTGTGATCTACCTTTTGTTTAGGTCTTAAGTCTTTGCAATGGCTTGTTCATAGTTTCTCATAGTTTCTATGATGGTATCTAATTGGTAGTTATCCTTTTCTTCTTTTTCTTTCAATTTTTTCCAAGCATTATTGTCTTTTCCAGTGAGATATTGCTTTTCATAATATTTTCAGAATAAGACAGCTTTAGCTTTCTCACCAGGGGTTCTGGTGAAAGTTAGAATTTTTCATTTTCCCTGCTGTGCAGAATATTCTTCAAATTCTTTACCAAAACCAAAGTTGAAATTCATCAAAACTTTTCCTATCTTGTGCATTCGTTTTCCAACTTTCATATCTTTTTAGAGTGACAGAAAAATATGATAATCTGGACAATTCTGATCTCAGTACTTTTGAAGATCTTTTCTAATGCTGGGTACACACAGGAAGTTTTTTTGTTCAACCCAGCGATGTTATTGCAGCAATCTTCCCAGCTGAGCTATTGTCTTCTGACAGGAGGACTGCCCCCAACAACCCCCCCCCTTCCAGAATACACTGATCAGCGCTGCAACCATTGGCTGCCAGCACTGATCGGATTCTGGTTTTCCAGCATTTCCATTTGAAAACGTAGGTCGTTAGCCTGTCTTTTGTCGAACAAGCTGCTGTACACACTGGCTTAATGTTGGCCATTTTCTGTTGAACTAGCCGATGCCAGCTGATACTTGGCCCATGTGTATCAGCCTTAAGTCTTTCATTCTTGCTCTTTCAAGGATGTATCGTTGTCATTTTTCTTATCTGTTGGATTCTTTGCTGTTAACAATTCCAAGAAGGTGGAAGCTCTATTCTATTTCTAAGTCTTCACCATCAACTTTGAAAGTTAGTTGTCTTTCTTGTTGTCATAACCTGAAGGTCTCCATAGACAGCTCTAATTTTAGAAGATTCCTGCTGAATCAA